ACCTGTGTAATATATAAAATCACATTTCATAAAAATATTCACTCTTCTCGTGAGAGAGAGAGAGAGAGAGAGAGAGAGAAAGATTTACGATCATACGTAATTTGATCTGTTATTATACTCGCAATTGTTTGATACTAATCGTGGAATTTGGTATGCGTAACGTTATCAGATCATAATCGATAAGCTCTATATTTATCTTCAACGCGATCGAATATAAATTGTAACTAGTGTTTCTCTTTAAGAGACCACAATTACGTTTGTAAATCGATTAATTAAACGAGAGTTACAGGTCACGGCTTCATTATATTGATTTTTCTAATGTATTTCTTTCTTTCTTTCTTTCTTTCTCTTTATTCATGCTTTTAGATTTGAAGATAGAAAGTAAACTTAGTTACTGTGTCTATGTAAATACTTTAAAATCTAGTTTACATTGTTTATTATAGTTTCAAGTTACCATTCTATGATACTTTTCTTTCACTTTAAAGATTTTTATTTTCATTTCTATATCCAAAGATTGTTAGTTTTATTCTCTTTATCTAATAGCTCGTAATTAATCACGAGGCATCAACGGTATAACAAAACAAAAACAAAAAATCCGTGGGATCTAATTTCGATTTAGATAAAAGGCCACGAGATAGGTCAAGATTATTATTTCAAATTTCTTTCATCTCTTATTGTATTTAATCGAAATAAATTAGTAATAAAACACTTTTTTTTTTTTCAGTAAATCCTTTCACGTTCCGACATAGGTGTGGAGTAATTATGAAAAATAATTAAACGCTTTTATAAGAGTCAGTCAGTTAGTATTTCTCGAATAGATCTATCGATCTTTTCTATCTGTTGAATTCATTACGTATAACGGATACAAATACAATTTTACGAATTTAAATATATAAGTGATTGCATATTAAAGGGGTGGAAAAAAAATATAGTCAAGTAAATAAATAAACATATTAATAAATGGTCGGTATCATATAAACATATACAAATAATTAATGAATATATTATATCTTTCATAGGACAGGTGTGTTATGTATAATACTTAATACTTTCCTAGATATATTTGTCGGCTATATTTGTTAGTATTTCAACAAAAGAACTATGATATTCCGTGCGAATAACATAAACTTTGTGTACATACATAGATACTTTATGTACATAATCTATGTACCTTAAGTACACCTCGTGTGTGGAAACAAGAGCGGGGATTAATGTACTCTCATTATAAACTTATCTACAACGGTGTAATAAACGGCTCGCGTGATCTTATGGCCTTTCATTATAATTATAGTGATTTTTCAAATGCTGGATGATTGTACCTACCTCTACTCCCAGTAATTGCCGAAAGGTTTAAACTTAACTTTAGTTAATATTTACCGATCGTTTATATATATACTTACTTATTACGCTAAATCTTTATATATATATATATATATATATATATATATGTATATGTAAATGTGTGTGTGTGTGTGTGTATATATATGTATAGATGATCCATGTCAACTTGATAGACGAGAAACGATTTTCTTTACGTTTTATTCAACATTGAAAAAAAAAAAAAAATTATTTGACCTGGCAGGATCGACTATGTTCCGAGAATTCTGATATCGAAAGAACCTAACGGAATTATGTTCAAAGAGAAAGAGAAAGAGAGAGGGAGAGAAAATCATAGTATCATTCCGTTCACGAAGTAATCATCGCCTTGGCCCTTGATCGATACTCCTGGAAATCATTCCGATAGTTCTCTCCTAGAAAATAGATTACGTTCTAACGCGTATCCAACGTATACATCGTTTCGATAAAATCATTTTTATAAATCGTCATATATTTTATAAGAGAAAAAATTCATCGTGAAACGTTGATTTTCATGATTGTTAATACTAGTTTTGTTGTTTTATTTTAATTATTATTATTATTTTAAATATTCGAGGTGTTGATTCTATATTATTTCAATATTTCTATTAATAGTTCATTTTGATTTTTGTAATCATTTATTTCGTTTCATTATATTATATTCAAAATGTATTATTTGGATATTTTGATTATTTACTTATTGTTTTATTTTAATTATTATTATTATTATTATTATTATTTTAAATATTCGAGGTGTTGATTCTATATTATTTCAATATTTGTATTATACTTAATTATATTATATTATATTCATTATATTATATTCAAAATTTATTATTTGAATATTTTGATTATTTATGTATTGTAAATAAAAAATTATTCACTTTTGTTAACATCAATTACCGTAATAAATTCTTTTCTAAATCGTTGTACATATTCTCTCTTTACAAAAAAGAAAAGAAAAAATTGAAACAAGAGAGTTTAACACATTTTTTCTTTTCTTAGTAAATTTATAACAATCGATATAATTGAATTTTTGTGTTACGATAGTATCATTATACACGAATTTTAATAGTTATTAGAAAATGGGTATATTCGTGCGATCATTTAAACGAGAAATGCGTAGAAAGGTAGCAGCTTCTGAAAAGAGGACTCGCGAGTGTTTTGAAAATGACGACAGGTCGATTCGATCGATCGAATGCAACGGCGGACTTGTTGCACGTAGTTGGATTGCAAGGTAGAAAGAGAATTAAGAGAGAGAGAGAGAGAGAGAGAGAGAGAAAGAAAGAGAGAGAGAGAAAGAGTTAGACGACGACGTGGATCTCGCGTGGTTAAACCGTACGAGCACGAGCACGAGCATGAAACTTTCTAATGCCTGCATTAATATTTTTGTGCCTTCGAGCTAAAGCAGTTGCGTCAAAAGGTCGGCTCGCACTGTTTCTTCTCGTAGACGGCGTGAAACCACCGGATATATGGACACAAATATTTGGACATTATTATAATTACAATTATTTTATTTTTATATATATTAAATATTTCATTTTTATTATATATAATTATCATATAATTATACAATATATTTCTAACATAATTGT